GCCAGGTGTCACATTAGAAGATAATGGTAATGTCTTCAAGAATTACACAAGTGATTTTGTAGATTGTATGCCATTATTTAGAAAAAGAGCAAAACACACACCGTACCAGTGAAACATATTCCACTTTTACTTAACGCATTCATTCATGCTGTAATTTATATTTAGTAGTATCATCATGTAAAGCTGAGGCAGAGAGAGCAGTAGCAATACCTCACTATTGCAGGTATCCATAGCAACAAAATTGGGGTCGGCATGAAAAGGAGCTGGGCTCGAGGTGGGTTGCAAAGTGGCTTGCAGATGAAGCTGTAGAAAGGCTGGCTTTACTGTGTTTTTTTTACATTACTTTTTCCTTTTTATTTACAGAGAGACGGAACAATGAGCTCATAAAATATGATGGTGATGTTATCACCATCAGCAACAGCAGTATAATTCTAAATAATATTTGGCAGTGTTATTAACAGTTTTATCTTTTTATCTGTATCAAACAAAAGGCTAATGACAATGTAACAAGACCAAGGGTTGCACCGTGCACTGCAGGATATCACACAGTTGTCAGTGTGGCTAATTATATATGTGGTTGGTTTTGCGTGCAGCCTTCGAATGGGAGGATGACTTCTCGGCTTTGGAGAAGAGCTGCCATTTTCAGTATGACGGGCACTCTCATCCCTACAGCCTACTGCAGACACATAACCGGACCGCCCAGTCCAGACCAGAGAATGGCCGCCTACCCCAAACCTGCCTTTTCCTCACCTATGTCACTGAGTCCGACCTGGAGTGAGATAAGGGTGAGTGACACGCAAATGCACACACATACTGAGCTGCATGTGGTGATTTTGATGAAACGTGGTAAAGTAAAGACAGCCTTTCTATCAGAATGTCTGCCTTCAGCCTAAGGCCATCTCACTGTCGCCATGGCCTAATGTGACATCCACACTTGTTTTTCTTTCAGAGAGCCAGCCTTGGCCTAATGGAAAAACTGACTAATCATCCAGATCTCTCCTCTTCACCCTAACTCATCTCCTACCCGCCCTCCCCCCTTTATGATGAGTCAGGGATTTTAATAGCTTTTTTTTCACTCCGTCTTTGCTCCAAATAGATTCAGCGCACTTGCCATTCATGACATCACAGCCGAGCAGGACTCTCTGACAGCGCATTCAGTTTTCACAGTTGTTGGTATGACAAGATTACTGCCCATGATGTCAAATAACGGCAAATAAGAGTTGCATAAGAGTGCTGGTGCCTTTCCAGCTGCAAACTGCGTTGGAAGCTACTCTTTATGCCAGGTTGCGTCCTTGGACTCGATGTAGGAAACAGAAACACGGCCGCTCAAACTTACGTGCGTTTAACAAACTCCTGTGTGCTTCTGCAGTCGCACTTTATCTTTAAATTGCTGTAATTTTCAGGCTAATGTTGGTGTTGAAGAAAATATGTTGTTTATACGGTTTGTTTTGCTCAAACAGAGCATGCTTGGGGGGGCCCTGTTTGCTTGCCTCATCACTGAAGTGTGTTGAGCTCAGAACATATCAGCAGCTGTGGTAAAATAAACACTGTAAGCCTTAGGGCCAATGGAGGCAGAAACTGTGCACACTAAAGCGCAAAGATAATATTTCCACAGAGGCAACTTCAGCAAGGTTTGGTTGATTAGATACAATGTACCTGAGGAGGGAAGGAAACCTGGCAGGACCTGTCTTACTGTTCACAAACACACACACACACACACACACGCACACACACATACACACACACACACACACACAATGTATAAATTTGGGGAAATTAAATTACACTTTAATTTTAGGTAATCAAATAATATCATAGGTGGGTTTTTTTCTCAGAAAACATTTTTTCACGGTTTGTGGCTAATAAATTGCCAAGTAGCTGCATCATTTCAAGCTCTCATTACAGCAATGGTAATGATTTATATTGATTTCCACACAGCAGCACTGTC